GTCTTGTTTGTGATTTTTATTTTACATACCTGTCTTGTTCCATCTATGCACAATATTTCTCCTGTTGTACTTAGAATGGAGGCTCTATACACTGGAATCCTCTCCATTTCCATAATCAAATAGGCTCGACGCAACACACGAGCAGAAGGCAAAGGGGTCTTCGATATTGGAGGAGTATAGCTTCCTTCTGGTTTAATGAAGCCTAGAATCCCTTGTTGAGAAGGCATGCTGCTGGCTGTATGGGCTTCATAAAGAAGAGTTTGATACAGATCCCTCCTATCAGTATACCACTCATCATGACCTTGCTGCACCAGTCTCTGTACTTTAGTCATTGATACAGCATTAAGCCTGTCACTCAATAGTGTCACCACATTCTTATCAATTGCTCTTTTTCCACATAAGATGGTGGGGAACATACTCCGTATTGCAGGGGCTAGATTCATTAAGATGGATGGGCTGTAAGAATGCCATCTGTACTGTTGGTTCTCATTCTCATTGTCGCTCTCCTTGTTCACACTCCGATCTGTATCCTTGCGCAATTTCATACAGTGGACACACTGTAGTCGCTCGGTCAGCAACGTGTAGAAGTAATTGAGACCACACACTTGTCGAGCTAAGTTTCCAAAACCACATTTGTTGAGGTAGCTTCCAGGTGGGGCAGGGCAATTTCGATTTGGACATTTGATTTTAACTTGCATCACACCAACAGGCCTCCAAAAAAACCCCCGTGTAGTAAAAAACGACAACATGTTTGGAATAGCTGTAATTGATGTGGGTATGTGAGGAGGGTTAAACTCGATTTGGTTTTTGAACAATTTCCGCTGTACTACCTCGCCTTTAGAATCCTTATATGGCTTTGCTGGTTGAAATATTCCATATTGTCCATCAGTTTTTAACCATTTGATATTTGGCAGCATCATTCCCTGAACTTGAGGAGGGGGTTCATCCCAAAATTTCTGCCACCCTTCAAGAACTTCAGTGTCACTATCAATTTCATGGCTTCTGGTTGCGATGGGTGGGTCAGGAATTTCTTCTCTGTAGGTTGATATTGTAGAAGAAGGTGCCACATTTTTTACAGTTGTGATTTTTGTAGAGACTGCTACTTCTGAGTTTTGGAGCACATCCTCTGTCAAAAAAATATCAAGACAATTTATTTTAATTAAATAAATAACTAGAATTATTGGTGATTCAGTCACTAAAACAAAAATGAATGAATGTAATATTTCTCCTTTGATCAATATTTGTGTGATGTTTGTAAAATTAGGTTATGCAGTAATGATGATGATGATAATTATGATGATGATTATGATGATGAGAATGATGGGTAACTTATCACAAACAAAATTGGATGTTATTAAATCACTAAAACAAACAAAAAATTAGAAATGAGTGTAACATTTCTCCTTTAATATAATGTGTGTTTTTGTCTAGTTATTGAATAATGTTCTGTTTTAAGGAAAAGTAAAACACATAAAATAGTTGTTTTTATTTTTTAAATTACCTGCTATAGTCAATAGTTCTGCATCATCATAATAATCTGGACCCCAGTCTTCAGATACTTCTTTCTTTTGCTTTTTCTATAACCATAAATGAAAACAAGTAAAAAATAATGTAATCCTCACAATAACTTTCCTTTTTTGTTTTGTAAGATTTAAAGCAGTTAAGATTGATAAAAAATAAATAACAGATCTATTTGATCTGGGAGCTGCAAAAATGTCATCCTCAAAACACAGAATATGATAATGATGATGATGATGGTGGTGGTCATAATAATGATGAGGGTGGTCATAATAATGATGGATGGTGGTGATGATGATAATGATGATGATGATGAGGGTGGTGATGATGATAATGATGATGAGGGTGGTGATGATGATAATGATGATGATGATGTGGGTGGTCATAATAATGATGAGGGTGGTCATAATAATGATGGAGGGTGGTGATGATGATGATGATGATTATGATGATGATAATGATGATGGTGGTGGTCATAATAATGATGAGGGTGGTCATAATAATGATGGTGGTGGTGGTGATGATGATGATGATGATGATAAGGATGATAAGGATGCTTTGAATTGATTGGTAGTTTATCACAAAAACAAAATTGTATGTTAGGAGAAAACTGCTGAACAAAATCCAGTAAATGTTGTTTCTGCCATTTGAGACGCAGCGATTTTTCACCGGCAAGAACAAATTCAGAGAGAAACCAGATGACCCAACCTACATCATTTTCTAGCAACCATTTAAAAGTCTGTCCAGAATATTTACCAAAAGTAATTATTAGGTTTGACCTCCACATGTCTTGCCCAATTCTTTTTGCGGCCTTCATAGCTGTTTCTTCTTCAAACCATATTTCAGGGATAGTTTGCCTTTTC